GGAGCACCTCGTGAAGGTAACCGTGCGACTTGGAGATGAGAGGCTTTGTGTTGCGCATCATCGTCCCTTCTATGACTCTATAGCTGTTTACATTCGAGTGACTGGAGGTCGCTTCCTCGATCTGCTCCTAGCGTTCACACGCTCGAACGATCGGAGACCGTAGCCTCGGTCTGCTCCTAGCATTTGTGTGCTCGAACGATCGGAAGTCGCAACCTCGGTCTGCTCCTAATGTTGATGTGCTTGAGCGATCGGAAGCCATAACTTCGGTCTGCTCCTAGCTTTTATATGCTCGAGCGACCGGAAGCCGCAATCTCGATCTGCTCCCAGCAGTTTATATGATTGAGCGATCGGAGGCCATGGCCTCGATCTACTCCAAACATAAGTAGAGCTACGTTGCTCGAGCGATCAGAGGATGTATCCTCGATCTACTCCTAGCAATGCGGGAGTTATAGACACTCCCAGTAGATAGGGACAGTGGGAATCTCGTTAATCCATTCATGCGCGTCACTAATTAGATGACGAGGCATTTGGCTATATGTTTCGTGTCCGGACCAGCAACACGCAAGCTATGCACGCGTCGCTAAGTCCTTCTACATTGCAGGGCGGTTTTCTGTCGGTGTTCGCAGTAGTACACCCTGGAACGTGCTTATCGGAACCGACAAGCGGTCCTACAAAAAAACTAACAAGCACTCACTGAATCAATCAGTCCGCATATGCGGGAGCGCCCCGAGGGACGCGCTGACGTGCACCACTATTGGCAGCATATCGCCGCCCTATATCATAACGTGTTGTAATTGCGTTAAATCGCCGCCAGTTCATCCACGAGCCCCACAGGACCCGAGTTGTGAGAGTGCGAAGCTGACCAGATGTCAGGCCCAAGCGACGCATCTCACCCTCGCTTTGCGAGCTCCAGACTCCTCGCCATGTAATAGTGATGGCGGTGAAACGAACATTATTACGAGGCACTCCTGTATGGTCTGCTACGCGATCCGCTAGATCCTCACAGGACCGGTACTTCTCCACCTTCCGCTCATGAGACACATTTAACGCCGCTTCGCTGGATACCACCTGCGCGTCAACGACCACGGCCTCACCATCCTTAGCGATGGTCATGTCGGGCCGCCTCCTGCCGGCAGAGGTCGAATACGCCAGTTCCGCATCGACATGCCATCCCTTCTGTTGTAAGAAGCCACCAACTTTACGACACAGGTCGTCGTGTCGCAGGATCCTCCCTCCGTGCGTTCTAAAGCATCGCTGAACGCAGTGAGCCGGGATCTCCCTGTCGGGACAACTGGCCCTACAGCGAACATCGCGCCCATCACGACCTCGGGAGACTCTCGCTCGAGACGGTAAGCAGTTAGCCCGTATATGGTGATAGTGCACGTAGTCGGCTCCGGGTATGGCGTCAGCACCTTGTGCGACCCAATGCGAACTCAGTTTGGACGAAGCGACCTCCCTAAGTCCGTTCCCATCGCACGACTCGCGCAACCAGGCCGTACACTGCTGTCTGAGCTCAGCGGTGGAAACAACTCTATTGCCGCGAATCCTCATTTGATTCTCGCACCACACCAACCGCCTAGCCACGTAAGTGGATTCGGCGGCGGCGCTTGCTGCAGGCAGAGTACTTCTACAAAGCCGCTGCAGTCGGTTATGCTTCAAGATAGGGATATAAGTTTTGAGTAGGGGCAGGCCAAGCCCTCCACTTTGTATCGGCGCATGGAAATATCCAGCAGGAACATCAGGGGGAAGCCGCAGCCAGCGGCGCACCGCAGTGCGCGCTAGCACGTTCAAGCCTTTGAGAGTTTTAGAGGTGATTGCCCCCAACACCCAACGATGGTAGTATCGGGGAAGGAGACAGTCCCTGAGCAACCGTAGCCGCTGTTGCGGCTTTAACGGCGCTTTCGTTAGCAGCTCGATGGACTGAGCCAAAGGCGGAACGTTTGCGTATTCCCTAGCCCCTTGATACATGCTCCCCAGATACGTCCAGACAGATCCTCGACAGGGGATCTCTGCGGTAAGACCGCTCCCCCCACAGTGAAGTAAGGTGTTGTATCCACTTTCACTTTCTTGTCTCGGCCGGACGCCACTATGGAGAGCACGCCAGTTTTCTTTGCGTTAATTTCAAGTCCATTTCGCATGAAGGCAGCGTGAAGCCGCGTCAAGTTCTCCTGCAGACCAACTTTGGTAGACGACAGGAGCACAATGTCGTCAGCATAGCCCAGAGCGCTGATCAGCTGGTCACCCATCTGATAGCCAACATCCTCCGAGAGAATTCCCAGTGCTCTATCTACGACCAGATTGAACAGTAGGGGCGACAACGGATCACCTTGCCTCACACCACGTCCGATCTTAATAGGCACCTCATTGTATCTGGACGCCAGTTTCGTCCACGAGTTGTCATATAGGGCCCTGACATAATTACGGAACTCGGGCGGTAAGCCCGCCTCTTCCAGAGTCCGATATATGGCATAGTGGGTTGCCGTGTCGAACGCTTTCTAGAGGTCCACACATGCCACATGCAAAGATTTGCAACGCCTTCGGGCGTCTCCGAGCACGGCGGACAGCACCGTGATGTTCTCACAGGCCCCGTCCACCGGCCGAAAACCCCTTTGGCGACAGTCGAAAATGTCCAGGGCCGACAACCGTTTTGCCAAAATTTTATGGATGTACCTAACAATGACGGATCCTATACTGAGAGGTCGGTATTCCGATGGCCCAGGGCTCTCGGATATACCTCCCTTCTCCAGGAACATCGTCCTCGTGGTGGATATCGACGAAGGTATCGTCTCCGCCAGGAGCAGTAGATTGAACTGCAGCGCACGAAGAACATGTGGAACGGAGTTCCACATCCTCGGCGTAATACCGTCCAATCCGGGCGCAGTGCCAGTCCTTACGGAGATCCTAACGACTTCTGTCATCGAAATCGGATCCCAGAGCAAGGTCCTATCCGCCATACGTGGATCTTGAGCCACGGCCTCATCGAGGCCTTCGAGATGAATCCCTCTGGCTCTCGACGGACGGCTCCGGCTAACACTCGCCGCCTGTCTCGCCTCTCCGTATCGTTCTCGCAATCCCGTCATATCTCCATCCGCTTCCCCGGTCGCCTCCATAATGGGGCGCCAGCACTCACGAAATTCGACAGAGGACGGGCGTTTGCGGACGGAGCCTCCTTCGAGTATGTGCAAAAGACAGGTCCTGAGGTTCTTCTTATAGAGAGATTGCACGTGTGCAAATTCGACAACCGTGAACCACGAAGGTTGAACTTTATATTTGAGAACATTAGTAATCGGTTGAAGAACGTTATTATGGCTAGTAATAGGAAGAATGTAGTTAAGGAGAATAGCGTTGATGTAGCGCAACCTTCGTGGTTCACGGTTCCTTTCGTTCGTGGCATTACTGAGAAGTTTAATAGATTAAAGAGCGATCATATGAGGGTGTCGTTTTATAGCATTAACAAATTGCGAGAATTCATTAGGGTACAGAAGGATCCCGTACCGCGTAGTAATAAGTCGAATGTAGTTTACAAGATTTCTTGTAAGTACTGTGACGCGAGTTACGTGGAACAGACCTGTAGACAGCTAAAAACAAGAGTCACGGAACACAAGACCATTTCCGATGGAACACGTCTACCCGCAACGTCATAACGGAGCACCGGTTGCAAGAGGGCTATGAGTTTGATTGGGACAACGTTACAATACTGGACGAGGAACCTCACTGCAGGAAGAGACTGACTTCGGAAATGATATTCTTTAGGAGACAGACGCACGGACTTAACATGCAGACGAATATGGAGGGGCTTCCCAAGACCTACCTCCGGATCATCGACAAGCTATAAAAGGATATCGAATTGTTATCGCGTCTAGTCAGTCAGTGTCGCTCGTACACAGGAAGAAGTCTTTCTAGCGTTGATTTTAAATTATTTTCAGAATTCTTTTTCTTGAATTTGATTAACTTTTTAACGTTAGTTTTCTAATTGCTATCTCAATAAAGACCAACTAAATCTAAAAGTGACTCACTGTGTCTGATACTGACTGGCCAACATATCAGAAACCGGTTTTTGAATTACTAATAGTATTGTTTGCGATATGGTGCCTTGTGACCATGTGAGCTTCCTAACTTTCGGGATAATCAATTATAATTTCATAATTTTCTGATACATTAGTTTTTCATTTTCTCTATTTCGAGATTTCCAAAATTTCTTTTCTTTTTTTTTATTTCATTCTTATCTGGGTTTAATTTTGGCATTTATATTCTTGATACGGGGGTGCTCACCATGACAAGTTAATATTTGTTATATTTTATATATGTGAGTTTATGTTGTCTCTGAAGAAAGCCCAAAAATGAGCCGAAACATGTAAGCGCGTTTAGTAAAATAAAGAAGTTTTACGCTTTATATATAGTCGTATTATTTGCGCAACGTTTTCCGCGCTTGACTCCTATTGCCCATGTTCTTTCTTAGTTCTTTTGATAAAATGTTAATTTTAACTTAAAGACGTATATATGGATCTTCTGAGATCCAATTAACACCTTTCTGTCCATTTAACATTTTTGTATGTCTCAGGAAGTTCACTAAACGTCTTTAAGTTAAAAAATTGACATTTTATTTTTTAGAACACATTCGTAACCTTGTTAAAATAGTCATAAAAAATAAGTAAACAATTTGTACAATATTTTAATTTATTCATTTAATATAATTTCGATTTAAACAAATAACCAATGCCTTGATCAAAAAGTTCCCGGAATTACCACCAGGTGATGCTCGGAGTCAGCTGATTTGAGTTCTGTTTTTTTTGGTTAGGTTGCCACATCTATCATTGACATTTCCACCAAATTTTATCGCCATAGCTTGACATTTGTAAAAGTTACGCCGTCTTGAGTACATCTACCTCTGCACGTGTTTTCGATTTTTTACAGTTTTAAAAATGGAGTTGAATTTGCGACAACGAGTTTGTATTAAATTTTGCGTTAAAAATGGATTCAATGGTGCGAAAACCTTGGAAATGTTGGGAAACTATTTCGGCAGTGAAGCTCTAAAGAAAACAACCGTTTACGAGTGGCATGAACGCTTCAGAAGTGGTCGTGAATCTGTCGAGGATGACGAACGTAGTGGCAGGCCGTCGACATCGAAAACCGACGAAAACATCAATAAAGTGAGAGAAATGTTAATCAATAACCGCAAATTAACTATCAGAGAGCTGGCAGAGGACTTAAACATTGCTTATGGATCCGTTCAGGACATTGTAGTTAATGATTTGGGTTTGCGCCGTGTTGCTGCAAAGTTGGTCCCGAAGGAACTGAATTTCATGCAAAAAAGGGACCGCGTTGACATCGCCAAAGACATGATTTCCAAAGCTGAATCCGACCCAACATTCATCAAACGCATCATTACTGGAGACGAGACGTGGGTTTATGAGTACGACACGCAATCTTGACATCAGGCGAGTGAATGGAGAGCTCTAAATGAGCCAAGACCAAAAAATCACGTCGTTTTCAGTCGAAAAAGAAAGTGATGCTCACGGTTTTCATGGATTACAACGGTATTGTACATCACGAATTTTTGCCAGAAGATCAGACAGTTAATAAGGAGTATTATTTGGGCGTTATGAGACGTTTGCGTGAAGCAATTCGCCAAAAAAGAAAGAATTTGTGGGCAAACAACTTGTGGATTTTGCACTATGATAACGCACCGTCGCACAGTGCCATCATTATCCGTGAATTTTTGACCAAGAACGAAACGAATACCATCCAACAGCCATCGAATTCACCCGATATGGCTCCCTGCGATTTTTTTCTGTTCGATCGAGTCAAAAATCCACTACGGGGAACGCGTTTTAACAACTGAAAGGAGGTAATGGAAAAATCGAAGACGGCTCTGATGGCTATACTGACAATAGAGTTCCAGAAATGTTTCGAGAGCTGGATCAAGCGCTGGCATAAGTGCGTGGCATGAATACTTTGAAGGGGACAATATCACTTTTAATGAATAAACTTGTATTTTGAATTTTTTGAATGAATTCCGGGAACTTTTTGATCAAGATGGTATATCTATATTTATCATATATAAGGCCCGGAAATTCGGGCACGATCCCGTCTCACGCGCGAAGCACCACTGCGTGCGAGTGAGTCAAACGCTCGCTGAAATGAGATAGCGCTCGAGGAGACTCGATGTCCGCCGATCTCGGATCTATGGCTACATTTACACCGTGCATTTAGGCCGCCGTCTATACAATAGATGTCCTTGTTTATTCTGTATATTAAACAAAGACACTTATCGTATAGGTCGCGGACTAAGCGCACGGTATAAACGTAGCCTATATCGGCTGGCATGGCGCGTAATCTGGAACGTAAACACAAAGCGCAGTGAGGATTTTCTACATTAATTCGAGATGACTCATCACGTCCTTGTTTGTGGTTCTGGATTCGACTAAAAATGAGATAATATTTTTCAATTGATAATTTGTCATGTAAGAACTTTGGCATTTTGAAGAAAAATTAGAAAAACGTCCTCGTGTAATCTCGAATTCGTGTACAAAATCCTTACTGCGCTTTGTGTTTACGTTCAAGATCGCGCGACATGCAGCCGATATAGATTCGAGATCGGCGGACGTCGAGCGCTATCTCATTTCAGCGAGCGTTCGACTCACTCGCACGCAGTGGTGCTCCACGCGCGACATGAGTCGCGCCCGAACATCCTGATCCTAATCATATATTACTAAAGTCTTATCGTCATTGACTTAGTTTACATCGTGCACTTAATACGGGTACTAACTAGTAACTTTCTATTGAATTATCTTAATTTCGGCGATACGTGTAAACATATACATGATATGTGTATTTAATTAATCATTTTGCTGCATATTATATCAATTTAGTACATCATTCTTTGAATACATCGCTGAAATTAAAATAATTTTACAGAAAGTTACTATACTCGTAGTTAGTACTCGTACCCCAAGTGCATGATGTAAACTAGACCATTAAGACAGTGCTGATACTAGCATCATTACTAATAAGAGAACATATAATAAAACTAAGAAAGCGACGAAACCAAAATTGAAACATGCCAATATGAAAACGGAAAGATAAAGAGAATATACTACGAACGCAAGATGTTTTTAGCGAAGTTTATATTTAATTCTAACACATATAATCGGGTTACAAATTATTAAACGTTTCGGCCTTAAACGTTTAGGCCATTTTCAGTATATAAGAGTTAAGTATAAAAATTCTTTTAACATACAAATGTACAACTAATCCAAGCTAATTATCTCCTAACATGTCTAAATATTACGCAAGAACGCTCGTAAAATTTGTTTTTCGTTATTCTTTAAATTGATGTTAGTCCAAGAATTTCAAATAATATCCAGAAAATTTTGTCTTTTATTCCAATTTTTTCGATAAACAACTTATTACAAACATTTTACAAATGTTTGTAATAAGTTGTTTATTGAACGCCAATATGAGCCGACATAGGAAGTTGATGTGTGTATACTTCATTATCTGAAATAATCCATATCACTCACAAACGTTTCGATCTTTAATTCAGATCTCCTTCAGTGTAAATTTCTTCACAAGTAATCATTTATTGTACGTTGTAAAATCGCCGTTGAGTTAATCTTTGTTAATAGTTGAAAGTATAAGAGAACGATGTAAGTATAAGAAAAAAACCACGAAAACTATTCTAAAATATGTCACTGAATTAATTTCGCAACTAGACTTTAAAATATACAGTAATTGTCATTGATTCATTGGCAAAATTATTGCTTCCGAAAACTGCTTAGGAAACTCAGGATTAATTCCTATCCTGTAACAAAAATCTCCAACGGGGCTTATATAGACTTCACAAATGGATCTCACGGAAGGTAATGAAGAATAACTCTCCATGATGAAAATAATTTCAACTTTCTACTACATCAGTACGAACGATATATTCATTAGCATCCATCTGAGGCGAGGAACAGCGATGAGACCATCACATATAAAAAAAATTAATCACTAAGATATATTTGTAATCCTGTAATGTTAAAAATATAAAATTAAAAAATTTTTCGAGCTAATATTTTATCATTATAGCTCGATCAAAGCTTAAACCTTTACCGTTGTTACATCCCGTAGACGCCACGATTCTTTTCTTTCGAAAGACGGCTCCACGCCGCGACTGACGATGGCATTTATGAGATTCGAGTGCAATCTCCTGTTAACAATCTGAAAGAATTAGAAGGCCTAAAAAGCTTCCACGAAAACTCATAAATGCCACTCAAGAACGAAAGAACAACAACGCTGATACGAGGCTGGAAACGCTAGGCTCACGAAATCCATATGTTTGGGTCATACCCTAGCTACCACCCGAGGCAGACTAACAATTCCATATTAGGAAAAAACGCAGGGCTAGAAGCGGTACGATTACAAAATATGCCCATATAAGGAAATAACAACATCCAAGCCGCCACCCGAGAGTGATTAACAATTCCATATCAAGTAAAGATAAAGTCGGCGCCACGTCGCGCCAAGACATAAAACGATCCAAAGCAATCCTAACCATATTAACGTTATCTGAGACCAGACTTAAGATTCCTTATACGCGAACATCCTAAGAAAACTGATTAAACGTCACGAATAATGGTTTACCCAGCTATATTTTTCGGGGCATAATAAAATTTGACATCCACTCGGAGCAATTTTTCCGCAGACTCGAGAAAATCGTAAATTACCTCCCCTTCAAAGCACTCTAGATTAACCACGATAGGACCTAAGAAAAAACGTAAATCACTGCTTGACATTGCAATTGTCCTAGATAAAAGAAAAGGCGCCCCTTTTTGAGATATAAATAGGGGCCCGCGAGAGAACGCGTCGTCAATCCTCAATAGCAGTCAGTCAGTTATTCAGTCCGTAACGTCAGTCTCTCAGTGTCAGCAATTCACTCAATAATAGTCAGCCAGTCATTCAGTGTCAACCTCTCAGTGTCATCCAGAAGTCAGTAAAGTCAGTGAGAACCAAGTCAGTCAGAAGCCAGTCAGAAGTCAGTAAAGTCAGTATAATTGTAAACGCGACATACACACATACACATTAGATAAGTTCAGCAATAATTTATACCGCCAGTTTACATATTATTATAATCATTTTTTTTCTCTCTTTATCATTATGTTTTTTATAATAAATTTATGTTAATTTTAAAATGAACATCTTTGCCCAATAGGGTATATTTATTTAAAACCCCTCGTATCCCGTATTCCCACTAGCATTCTTAAGTTCGCACGTGGTCCAGTGGGTAAAAAGGATTAAGTTCCTTAACCCGAAAGTAGGACCGACGTTCGCACTGCTCAAAGGAAACAGATGTCATAGGATCCCTTCGGGACGCTGACCCATATTCCAGAGCCATAAAAGGTACGTTCGACTCTCGGGTGTTCGCCTCTGCGCGCATACCTGAAAGACTGAGTCTAAGCGTCCTTCCACATTTTTCTCATTTCCCTCCTTATCTCCTTCAATCAAACCTTCCAAGAGCTTGGACGTAACACTGTCTTATTTAATAGACTTGTATACTAAATGCAAACAATTTACTTTTCACTTTTAAAAATGAATGTCATGCACACGCCAATGCGTCACCATTGCGAAATAAATTCAGAGAACTGATAGAAGAGTTGAATCTCTTATTATGATATCTGCCAGATATGATTAGGGCCTATCGAATGGGCTAGAAATTAATAAAAATGTAAACTGTTTTGGTAAATGTGTTCACTTTAGGAGACTCAGTTCCGATGACTTTGATATACATTGTCAAAGCCATGAGTGACCTCCAACAGGTTTTAGTTGAAGGTCACTCATGGCCAGGAGGACGTTATTCGTTAAAAAGTTATTAACAAAAAAAGTTTAAGAAATAACATCTTAATTACTGCTTAGGGACCCACGACTTGCACACGAAGTGTGCTCCCACTCCCACCTCCCCCCCTGCTTAGAGGCGAACGACTTCCACGCAAAGGGACTCCCACTCCACCTCCTCCCCTGCTGAAAGGTACACGACTTTCCCGCGAAGCGACTCCCACTCCACCTCCTCCCCTGCCAAGGGGTGGATGACTTCCACCACGAAGTTTATCCCTGGTTTCTCTGTAGTAAATAATTATCAATATTTATTTAATTTTTTTATTTAAAAAAATAGCTTTTTTTGATAGTCATCAAAAATCCCTTTAAAGGTTTTCATTTTGACCTAAAATGAAACTTTTTGCAAAGTTTTATCAAAATCGGAGGGGTTCGGTTGTCGGAAGTTTATCCCTAATTTTGTCAAATATTTATATATAGTTAGTAGCGGTAACATATTACAGCGTATTGATACCTAATGCAACCGTCGCGAAGGGGATAATTAAAAAAAGGTTTATGAAAAAATTATTATCTTGTTTTGATTGACTTGTAAAAGTCCCTTTTCTTTCAAAAGCATGTC